TTAAGATATATCGACGAATTAGATCGAATCATATCTACCAGATCTCTTAATTTAAGAAAATCATATCAAGCTAATCAAAACATACATTAGATAGAATATTACAACGAATATGGAAAGAATCAAAATGATCATGTACTAACCAAGTGATTTATTTGTCATAATAGTGTAAGGATCTTCATCTCCATAAAATGGGTGAATGTGAATATAAATAAAATTTTATGATGAATATAATTAATTAATAAATAAATAATTATGAAAAATTTAAATTTCAAAATAAATACATATCCAATTTAACGATAGATTACAATATTAGGTGTACTGAGTTTGATTAGGTATTAACTAATGTTTGTGTGGCATTGATTTGCAATGATGATATCTTGACATTTGTTCTGTCGCTCGTAAGTGAAATCCCATACAGTGAAAATGACATTTGATTTAGACATGCATAATCAATGTAACGCCCTTCAGCCTTCAAATGTTTTCTTAATTTCTGCTTTTGAAATTCTCTAATTAAAATAACTATTTCTTTTATGATAGTTTATTTCTGTCATTTGAGGTGAATCTCTGTGTACTTTCTTGGTATATGTAAACTGAAAAACAAACAATTATTTAATCGCATAAATATATATTTTTTCTTTCTATTTTCTTGACCTTTTAGCTGAGAATCATATCAGAGTTGAAATTCTCAACAAGAGAATATGATTGCATGAACTTTCTCGGTTTCCAAACAGAAAATGTGACAAATATTGCCTAAATTGCATCTCACCTTTGCAATTTCCCGAGCTAACTAGCTTTTTGTGGTTGATGGAAATCACTTTTACTAGTGGAACACCTAAGAATATTCCATTTTGCATAAATTCAATTTCATCGGTGCTGTATATATCATTGTATTTCCTGAGCTGAGCTTTTGGTAATTTTGATTGATTGATTTAAATATTATATTAATTTAGTTAATTCATTTAATTGAAATATAAAATTATTGTATTTAGTTAAGAAAATATAATATTATAAACACATTTTTAATTAAAGCTCAGCACCTTTACTATTTTTCAATAAAAATTTACATAGAATTATAATATATTATTACTTTAATTATAATTTATATATTAAAAAATAAATATGATATTAAAGTAAATTTACAAACTATAATTATAATAAATCATGAAAAGCAAGTGCATCACCTACCATAATTATAGTTATAATCATAATTAGTAGAATAATAAATAAATCATTAGAGTAAATATAACAGTTATAATTTTAAAGTATGACGTTTATTATTTCACTTTTAAGAAAAAATATATTTTATTTTTATTTAGATTTAAGTTTTATTTAAGGAAAAATTATCTAAATAAATATAAATAATAAGTTACTCCATAATTTTAAATTATGTGTGTAATATATGATAAACTAAAGAAATATGTTGTAATAAAATTATACTCTATGTTATATGATATTTACATGGTTTGAAATGTGAGGTTACTGCCGCAAGAGAATATTTAACTATCAAACATAACCATTTTATGTTAAAATTTAGGGTAAAATATGCGTTTAGTACCTAAACTATCAATTTTGATATGTTTTAGTACTTAAACTTTCATTTATCTAATGTTTAGTTTTTGTTTCATTTTAGTACCTCACCGTTAAAACTTAACGACTCTGCATTTTTATGGATAAATTATACCATTCATCACTCAACTATCTTCTCACTCCTATTTTGGTACTAAAGTTTAAAAAATTTAAATTTAACTACTCAACTTTCAAATTACTCCTATTTTAATCACTCTAATTTATTTTATTAATTATTTTTGTAACATAACATTTTTTATTATGATTTTATTAATATATAATTAAAAATAAAAAATAAATTTGAAAGTTAGAATGATTAAATTAGGAGTAATTTGAAAGTTAAGTAATTAAATTAAAAAAATTAAACTTTAGTGACCAAAATAAGAGTGAGAAGATAGTTGAGAGATGAATAATGCAAATTACCCATAAAAAAAAGGTGTGCAAATCACCCGTTAAGTTTTTAACAGTGAGGTACTAAAACGAAACAAAAACAAAACGTTAGGTATTGTTTTGAAAAAAATGAAAGTTTAGGTACTTAAACTGACCAAATTGATAGTTTAGGTACTAAACACCTAATTTACCCCAAAATTTAAAATTAGGCCCCTTAGAATTTTTTTCCACTTAATTTGATGTTCTTATTCCTTGGTAATTTACCTTTATTGCATGGAATATTTGGGCAATAAGTTTAGTATAATGAAAGTACAACTAATAATTGTAGTAGATGTACTTTCTTTTTGGTACAAGAAATAGATGTACATAAGAGGTAAAATGCCCTTTTTAAAAGCATTAAATTTTTTATAGTCTGATACTTTCATTTATTTAGTAGTATGACAATACCAAAATATAAATATTCCGTTGTAATCTTGTAAATGATAGTTTAATGACTAATTAACCTCTTGTTTTGTTTCGTATTTGTTTGCCCCTTGGGTTCCTCAATCGTCAAACAGATCCAAACGGTGAGTTTCACTAACATGATCCTATAAGGGTAAATTACAAATTTGATAAATGAATGTTACTCTCTCTCCTATTTACTCATTATACTTTAAATATTTTCAATTTTCTTACTGAATTTAATTGGGTTTTACTGGTCACTAACGGCGTTATAAATGAGTTGTTCTATAGATGCAAAACGACGTCGTTTTAGATATTTTTTTTAAAATAGTGTCGTTTTAAGGCATTTAACTATTTAACAACGGAGTGACAAAAAAACCTAATGTATTAAGTTCAATGATAAAATTGAAAACTTTTAAAGTTCAGTGAGTGAAATAACAGAGAGAGTAAAGTTCAGTGATAAATTTTGTAATTTACCCGTCCTATGGACGTCATACCTTAATTATTCTTTCATTTCTGTCTCATGCAATCCTCCTCAATTTGTGTAGCTCCAATGTACTACAATGGAATATACCATTTATTCTACCAATACAACCCCAAAGGTGCAGTTTGGGGCAACATTATTTGGGGCCATTCAGTTTCAAAAGACATGGTCAACTGGGAAGCACTCGAACCTCCAATTTACCCTTCACAACGCTTCGACAAAAATGGTGCCTGGTCTGGTTCAGCCACCATTCTCCCCAACAATAAACCCATCATTTTATACATCGGGGTCGATCCAAATAACAGGCAAGTCCAAATCTACGCAGTCCCAGCTAACTTATCTGATCCTTATCTACGTAGATGGCTCAAGCCAGCTCGTCTCAACCCGGTGGTCGATCCAGACCAAGTCGTCAACGCCAGTGCATTTCGTGACCCATCCACTGCTTGGTGGATGAACGGCCATTCGAGAATGGTAGTCGGCAGCAAAAGGAACCACAGAGGGATAGCCTATCTGTATAGAAGCTGGGATTTCTTTCATTGGGTTAAAGCTAAACACCCTTGCATTCAGCACCCCATACAGGCATGTGGGAATGCCCTGATTTTACCCGGTTTTGTTATCCGGTAAACAAGGTCTGGACACCTCTGTGGTGGGAAAACATGTTAAGCATGTTCTGAAAGTGAGCTTGGATGTTACCAGATACGATTACTATACGGTTGGTACGTATTTAACCGATAAGGATAGATACTTGCCGGATAATACATCAGCTGATGGCTGGGCCGGCCTTAGATATGATTATGGGAACTTTTATGCCTCAAAGACGTTCTTTGATCCTGCTAAAAAGAGGAGGGTTTTGTGGGGTTGGGTTAATGAATCTGATTCTACTTCTGATGATGTTAAAAAAGGATGGGCTGGAATTCAGGCACTCACTTAATCTGTATATACATGTATATGTACCTAGTATACTCAGCTATGCTAAATGGCTAACAATTTGTTTTTCCTAGGCAATTCCAAGAACAGTGTGGCTTGATCCCAATCAAAGGCAATTGATGCAATGGCCTATTCAAGAGTTGGAGACTCTCAGAGGGAAAAACGTTAAATCAGCCATCGAAAGCTTAAGACAGGCCAACATATTGAAGTCAAGGGAATTACTGCTGCTCAGGTTTATCATTTATTTTCATGGAAGATATAATTATTTTAAGTTGTCAACCTTGTATTTGAATTGATCTACTACAACTGTTCACAGGTTGATGTTACCTTCTTTATTCCTCGTTTGGATAAAGTTGAGCCATTTAACCCCAGTTTGACAGATGCCCAACTTCTCTGTGCCAAAAAGGGTTCAAAGGTTCAAGGTGGAGTTGGTCCATTCGGGCTTTTGGCTTTAGCTTCAAAAAACCTGGAAGAATATACTCCAGTCTTCTTCAGAATATTCAAGACTTCAACGAAACATACAGTTCTATTGTGTTCTGATGCAAGAAGGTAAATATGTCATTTTGTTTATGTCAATCAAATTTCGATCTCGACTTTAATTAATCTTTTTGCAGTTCCTCGTTGAAGGATGGTCTTTATAAACCATCGTTTGCCAGTTTTGTGGATATAGATTTGGCTGATAAGAAGCTTTCTTTGAGGAGTTTGGTATGAACCATTATGAATCAAGAATCATTTTCAGCTTTATAACCCTTAATTTACTCTATTTGTTTTTTGTTGCAGATTGATCATTCTGTAGTGGAAAGCTTCGGAGCCGGAGGAAAAACATGCATAACATCAAGGGTTTATCCTACATTAGCAGTGCTTAAGAATGCTTATTTGCATGCATTCAACAATGGGAGTCAGACGATCGTTGTTAAGAATCTTAATGCATGGAGCATGAAGAAGCCTCTAAAGATGAACTGAAAATTTATGGGACTACAATTATGTATGTGCTGTTCTCATGAGTTGCACGTCTACTGATTAGTAAGTGTTGCATGTCTGATTGTGCAATATAGCGATAATCTTAAGGTTGTAATGCTAGTTTATGTTGGATATGATATTGATTTCGGATTTTAACGTTATTCAAATTCCATAACATATAGATGGATTTGTTCTAAAGAACTTGGCATCATCAGTTAAGCTACGAAACATACATTTGAACATCTATTTTAACTTAAACTCTGCGTCAATTACCAAATCAAGAATCCATACATAAAATCTCAACAAAATAGAATAATAGCAAAGGACTAAATGGAAATATTTTCCAAGTCTGGTATTCAAATTGTTTTAAAGCAGAGAAGATAAGCCATGTCATAGTCTACTTGATCTTCTTCTTAGGCCTCAACTGCAACAAGAGAAAATAATATTTAGCTTCATAGCAAATTTGCAACAAAAAGGACTTTCAGTACACAATAACAACATTCAATAACCTAAATATATATATTACACAAACCTGATTGCTGTGACCACACTTCTTCTTGCGGCAGTTCACAGCCCTCGGATGCAGACGAGCATAACACCTAGCAAGGAACATCATAAGCATTAATTAATCCTGAAACATATCCAAATTTCAAGTTGACAACAACCGATGTTGAGCAGAACAACAATCAAAGAGCATTCTACTAATTGGTTCCCGACACTACTCTCTTCAAAAGCTAATTATTTACTTGAATCTTAACATATATACAACATCAATCTCTGTAAGAACAACTATCTATGAGTTCTTAAACAAGCCTCAATAATTAAAATAAATAAATCTCGTGATTTCTCAAGACCCATAAACAAGAAACAGAGAATAAATTATAATGTACCACACTAGAAAATCAACTGCCAAGGGAAGTTTAGACCAGTTGACAAAGTTGAGAATGGAAAATTGAATTTTGGGAACTAAGATGCCCTCCTTTTCAGTCGTTAGTTCAAAAGAGGGTTCAACTTGAAGTCCCATTCATGCTTTATACTAGTACAAAATACTAAAAAATGGGATCAACTTCTTGCATTTTTTAATTATGCCATTCATGAAAATCAGCTGCCAGAAAAAGTAGATCAGCTGACAAAGTAGAAAAATTGTTACAATAATTATTGGGACGTCGTATGACCTCTATCCCATTTCAAGTAAGCAGTAGAGGTTAAGTCAGGTCCCCATTTGCAAAAATTAAAACAGGAAGACAAAGAAAAAGAGCTTTACTTGCGGCAAATCATCTTGTCTTGGTTGTATTTGCGAGCCAAAGCCATCAAAGAAGGCTCAATAATTCCACCCCTCAACCTCAGAACGAGATGAAGCGTTGATTCTGCATCGAATCAAAACAAGACCCAAAGTATGTTAATCAACTGAGTAAAAAAAATGTCGTTGAAAACGGAAGAAGAACAAAAACCCAAAAGATTAACCTTTCTGGATGTTGTAGTCAGCCAAGGTACGGCCATCTTCGAGCTGTTTTCCGGCGAAGATGAGACGTTGTTGGTCCGGCGGGATTCCTTTTTTTTAGTTCAGAAAAGCAAAACATTCAAAGAAAAATCAATTCAAGAAGCTAAGGAGAAAAGAAATGGAATTTGGAAATAACAAAACATAAGAGTGAAAATTACCTTCTTTGTCTTGGATCTTAGCTTTGACATTGTCAATGGTGTTGCTGCTCTCAACCTCGAGGGTTATGGTCTTGCCAGTAAGGGTTTTCACGAATATCTGCATCTTTTCCTGCCTCTCTCTCTTCCTCAGCAAAAACAATGAGTGGCTCCAGCTGTTGATTCATAGGGTTTTATATTCATTTTTCTAGGGTTTCCTCCTTGAAGGGTGAAATAGTATTAGGCCTTTTTCTTTGAGACCCTTCGGGCCTTAATAATAACTATATAAACCCAATTTGTGAACTATAATTATTAATTTATTAAAGAATAGTCAACATTATTATTTGTTATGAGAAATAAAACTAGACTTGAAAATTTGATTTCTTTCGCTTGACTTTAATTTATTTTGAGATATAATTTTATAAACTCGAATGGATTAAAAAAATTTTAAATTTGAGTCGAGTTATAAAATAGAACTCGAATAGTCACTAGAATAACTTTTTTTTAATTAGTGGATTGATGTTTAAGTTTGAGTCAAGAGAATCGACTTTGTATGATATATGAATAATATATATATATATATATATATATATATATATATATATATGTGTGTGTGTGTTGTTTATAGTTATAGAAAGCCGTTTACATTGGAATCAAATAGTATCATAATATTATAAATATTTACAATTAAATTTAAATAAAAACTCGAACCACTCAACTCGACTATAAAAAATTTCAAATCAAATATTATTTATAAAATATGACTCGTCAATTCGAATAACTCAAATTTTTTAACTTGACTTGACTCGACTCGATCAAATGCTTACCCCTTAATATTGATATTATACAAGGCCAAAAATCGTAAGAAACGTTTGATTGAATTACTATTTTAATTTTGTGTTTATATATATATTTTTAATGTTTCCATATTTTCAAGTTGGTCATTTATCTCTTTTTTTTTATCTTTGTGATCGGTGATAGCACCAACCGCTGATATTTATTGTTTTTCTTTTACTTTATTATAGTGTTTATGTGTTTTTTTATTAATAACTATGCCTTTATGACACATCTTCTTCTGTCTTTATGGTAATTTTTCTCTGCCTTTATGGCACGATTTTAGTCGTTTGACTATTGTTTTCGTTTATCATTTTTTGTTGGATTTAGCATCGCCACGACTGATCAAGATGAAACTTATTTGTTATCATGCTGATCTTCCTTGCTTTGAACTCTCAAATTAGATTTGGATACGCACTTTACATTTGTAGATAGTATTTTCACGTCGCTTGATTCTAATTTGTGGTTTGTTAGTGGTCTTTTAATAGTTTCATCCCCTTTTATGGTTTGGTTGCCGATGATGTCAGATATATTCGTATCTAGCTTTTATTTGAGTTTATTTGGTTAGGTTTTTAAATTTTTTTCATGTATGATCCTTATATCTTAAGTGGCTAGTTTTCTGTGTTTAAGAAAATATATTTATTATATGTTTAGTTTACGGTTGTGATTTCATTGTAATTTGGATATTTTTTATTTTTAATAAAATTAGTTGCTTCTATAAAAAAAAAAGTTGGTACTTCATCTATTTTTAAAAGATTAAGAGATTAGACGGGAAAATATTGAAATAGATGAAGATTAGAGTTTTGGTTTACGAGGAAATATGAAAATTTTCATGTCATTCAATCATGGTCTAGGTTGCATTTAGACATTTATCAGCTTTTTATATGAAATTATGGTAACATATGGTGTGTGTTTTGTAGACACTCATTTTCGTCCATATATTTTGTTAAAATTAATTATTATTACTATTATTATTATTTAACTATATTATTTTTATTTTTATTTTTCTTATTTTTGCATGCCATTACAACAAGCCCAAGTCAGGTCCAATTACAAGAGGCCAACCGGCCTAAACCCTAGTCCAAAATTTTAGGGTTTTCTAAAACCCTAGCCTAAACCTAGCCTTACGTCGTCGCCTCCACTGCCAACCAAGAAGAGATTTGCGCCACCGCCACCGTTCTGGTCACCCACTCCTGTCATCCAGTCGCTGCCATTTCAACTACCCCGACATCACAATCTCGTACAAAACAGAGAATAAAATCAGTAAAAAAAATCAAATCCAAACAAATCAAATATCATAAAAAATCACACCAAATCCCAACCAATCTCGGAATATATGGGATCTCAACCACCTACCATCATCACCTTCACCAAAACACAAACCCTATTTAATACATGAAGAAGAGAGTTCAAACCAGAGGGGAACGAAACAAAAAAAAAAAGAGGAGAGACCTGAAGGAGAAAGAAAAAGAAGAAAGAGAAGGAAGATATGGTTTTAAAAAAATAAAAAGAAAAGAAAAGGGGATCAATTCGAATGAGAGAGAGAACCTGAGCAAGAAAAAAAATAAAATAAAGGGGTGAAGTTCAAATTAGAAGAGGAGCAAAAAAATGGGTTTTAACGAAAAAAAATTTAAAAAAAGAAAAAACAGAGAGAAAAAAAAGACCCAAAAAAGAGAGGAATAAAGAAGGCTCACCGAAGAAGGGTCGCCGGAAAATGAAGGAACCCAAAAGGTTTCTTTAGATCTACGTCACTCCTGTAATTTTGGAGCCATTCAGACTCTAGATTAGTGTTCCGAGAGTTGAGGCGAAGCAACCCATAAAATTTGGGCTAGAAAAACCGTCAGAAGACGGCGGGGAACATATACATACGGTGGCTGGTGACTGTCTCTCTCGTTGAGGTTTGAGAGAGAGAGAGAGTGGGCTAGGGGTTAAAAAAAGGGGAAAAAGAAAAAAATGAAATGAGAATAAGAATGAGGAAGAAGGGCTAAAAAGGGGTTATGTAACTCACCCAAAATGGTGTAGTTTTGAGAGTTAGGGTTTTTTGAATTCATGCATGGGTTAATCACATAGAAAAGGTCTCTACTTTTGTAAGCTTTCCGTTTCAGTCACTAATTGAAAGTTTGTTTACTTTTAATTTGGTGTTTAAATTTTACGCGTGTTGCATTTTAGTCACTACTTTAATTGTTATGGATTATTTACGTGTTTAACTCCTATTAGTTTAGTTTTCTTAGATTTAGTCATTGTTAAAAGGTTTTTTAGAGTTTCTAATTTTCCTTCTTATTTTGCGCGTGTTATATTTTGGTCAACGTAGCTTATTTTTTTTTGTTTATTATAATTTTAGCATTTAGTTTTAAATACTTTTATTTTGGTACTAAATATATGAGTTTATTACAATTTCTGTGCTTGTAATATAGATTCTTGTATGTACAATCTCATAAATATGTTGGTTCACAAATACGCCGATTTTTATTATATATATTTAATTTTCCTTTTCAATTTTTATGTAATCATTAGATTTGGTAAGTATCTTTATTTGTAAATACTTTCTTAAAATATGCATGTTATATTATTAATTCATGAATAACTATTTATATTAAATATTTTATTTTGAAAATAAATTAAAATTACTTACGTTTTATCCCTCTTTGAATTTAATCTTTTTTATTAATATATTTCCTTACATTTGCTTATATTTATAATATATATTAACGTGAATATATATTTATGTTTATATATTTTTGTATTTGTATATTAATTGGTATTTTAGTTGTGGTGTGGTGTAGTATGTATTATATTTTGTATGTAAAATATATATAGTAGGATGCATATTTTCTTTTAGTGAATGAACAATTGTTTTAAGTTTAGTCACATGGCATCATTTTTGCATAAATGTGATACCCTCACAAGCATAACTCGATTTAATTCAAATAATTGGTTTAAAGGGTAAAACCCTTTTATTTTAAGGTTTTTGCGAAGTGATTGTCTTAACGTATAAGAAAGTCGTTTCCGATAATTTTAAAATGAAAGTGTATCCCGTTAAGTGAAACCCTAAAAATTGATCATGTTTAAAATTTGGGAACAAAAGAAAATAAATGTTCATCTATTTAAAGTCTTCGAGAAAATATCGTTAGAACTTATAAAAGGTTTGATCTCGTTGTCTTTAAATAATCGAACATCATTCTTCTTTCTAAAATGATTGATAATTCATATTTAATTCATTTTTATTTTCACTATCATTCATACATTTGAATTAATAACGAATTTAGAAAGAATTTGTAATATTTCTTTATTTTGATTGAAGTAAAAAATGACTGCTTTAAGGCATGAGAGGTCGTTTCTTCTCGATAGAAAATAACAGTCCTAAAATTAAAGGAATGTGTTTAAAAAGAAATCTTAAATTTAATTTGTTTTATGTTATTTTATTTGTGCATTTGAATTTAGAATTAATGAACTTTAGGAATGAAATTGTAATATTTATTTATTTCGATTGGATTAGGAAGAGAATGCTTTAAGGCATGAGAGGTTGTTTCTTCTAGATAGGAAATAATTAAATATTACTATGTTCGTCCTAAAGTTCAAAGAATATTATTTGAAGAGATCTTAAATTAAATTAAACTCGAATATGTAAATTTCATTGCAAAGACAACTAATTAATCGACTAGGTACCGATTTAGGGTGTTGTAGGGGTGCTAATCCTTACCTACGCGTAACCGACTCCCGAACTCAAATTTTTGCAAAGACTAATATCATGTCAGAGCTCAAGGACATTTCATGAGAATTGCACTGCCTTCAAGCATCAAGTCCAACATCTTTTGGATCATGGAGTATTGGAGTTTGAGATAAAAGGTCGACCGAGTTTGGTAAATGATTGTCCTGTTAAAATTGATCCAAAAGTGTTCAAAGGTAAGGGTATCAGTGGGGGCATCCATGAGGAAAAATGTTTACTAAAGTACAAAGCTCAAGTACATCATTTGAGGATTGAAAATGATAAAATGAATAGAGAGAGATGAAAACCAGTGTGATGGTTTTCAAAGGATCAATCAAGCCTTTAAAAAATACTGGTATAGGAAATGCCTCAGAGGAGTTTGCAAAAGGGGTCACTAAACTGAAAAATGATGTTGAACAATGGAGAAAGAATTGCAAGGTGCATGAAGGTCGAGCCAAGAAGTTCTTTTATGATTTACAGATTGCAGAAAAAGGTGCAATACAACCGTTAATGATTTGGGAAGATGTCAAGCCAAAAATAAGATGTTGAATATGTCCAGATCCAATATGGAAGCTTCATATCAGCACGCAAGCATGAGAATGATGCTGAGCTAGAAGCCACTAGGGCCAAGA